TTTTTTTTAAATAGCGGGTGCCTTCATGTTAAAGCGCCTATTTTTGGCACAACATTCACTAAGTCAGCAAAAATCGGGATTTGGCCAGATTTTATTGAGATTTTGCACAACTGGAGACTGAAGTGTCTTCTACAGACTGCAAAAATGCCAAGTTGCTGCTCACCCCGGATTAGAAGTTACGAAAAAAAAGGTCAGAAAGTGGAAACTCCCCACTACAGCAAAACTCAGCTTTATTCATCAAAATGAAAATTTAAGCCCATCGGGAGTGTTTGAGATGAGTAACAGTGATAGCAGCTTGCAGTTCCTCAACATTAGTGTCTTGGTCGCTATGGAAAGACACCGTTCTGGTGGCCTCCACTTGCAAGAACCCATTTTCCGAAAAGCGTCCCATTATAGCATGGGCATCCAGCCAGACGAAGAGCGCAATGTTATCCGACCTGACTGTAATCTCGTATGTTTTCGTGCCTGTCTGCGACACCGAGACGATCTGAAACACCAAACACCAACATCAGGCCATCAACCGAACCAGAGGAAAACGCTCTTCACCTCCACATCGGGCGAGGACAACTCGGAGTTCTTCAGCTTGGCCGGGAAGACGTAGTTTTCCGGGCTGATTGCCGTGCTGTATGTTAAGGAGGCGTTCTTCTGGACGACAAAGTAGAAGAAGCAGGTGGTGAGTTCGCAGCCGACCTCTTGCAGAACGTCTTCAGTCTCAATGGTCTCGATCAGCTGAGAAGATCCAGCTTCCTACAAACATCAACACATTGGAGTCGAATGGACTTTGATGGCAAATCACTTTGATTCCCGAAACTTACCAAACTTGTGGCCAATCGGTACTCGTGCACAGGCCGGAACTCTGGACTGTCGTAGTTGAAGATTTGCACCAGCACACTCACATCTTCAATTGGAGACAGTTGATCATTGACTGTGTAGAGCAGGATTTGCTCTTCGAGGTTCTTGTGGCCCGTCACGATGACGTTGGCGAAGAAACTCTTCGCGAAATAGTGCAGCATCTTCCATCTCCCCGTGTAGTCTGCGGGTAGGCCACCAATGAATAGTAGATATCACATTTAGGAATGTTTTCCGGGCTTCGAAGCCGTGGTCTATGGGAATTTCTTCCTGACGTTTCGTCCACAACTGCGCTGGACATTATCAAAGGCGATGAGGCTTTCCGACTAAGACCAAGCCCTGCGCACTAAAGCGAGAACGACTGATTTCATAGTCGCCAGAGGCGCTACAGACGATAAAGAGCTACAGATTAAATCGGGAAATAGCCCACTGTAGGAAAATATTCTGTGGATGAATGCGATAACGCAAGTCAAATGTCAAATAAATCTTGTAATCCCCATTGTTGCACAGGTTACAGAGTACAGAGAGAACCTCTGTGATCTGTGCATTGTTGTTTGTGGGGTTGTCATGGACAACATGTCTGTCGATGTTGATTATTCGCTATCATTCAAAGAAAAAGCCGATTTTATTCATTTCTGACGATATAATCTGTGATAAGTTGTATGATTTGGTGCCTCATGCTTCCTGCACATACTGGATTGTGATATGTTTCCCCATGTTCTCCAATACGTAATTTGTGAATATTGTAACGGAAATGGCCTGGGGTACTCACGTTTGGAATGGGGGATCGAAATTCATGGTGTTTCAGTAAATGGGAGCCCCATTTGGGCCCC